CCCTGTGCATCCGGGCGCCCAAGAAACAGGTCTTCGGGGAAAACCGAAGATTCTCGGGCACATGCCCTAAATTTTGACTTAGCAAGAAAGATCGAGCACGAAACCCAAGAACTTCGGGCACGGTTCCCAAAAATCTTGGGCACGTGACATGCTGAACGCATGGTTTGTGTATGGTAGATGTATGGTAAATGTATGGTAAATGTATGGTAAATGTATGGTGAATGTATGGTAAATGTATGGTAAAGTTATGATAATTCTATGGTGGATGTATCGTACATATATGGTTAATGTGCAATGTATTGATGGTACATGTTCGGTAAGTGTTCAATTGATCTACGGCGCCTGCGTTGCATTGTAGCTCATAGCGCGTGCCTGTGGGCCGTAGCGGTAGTGGCATAGGGAAGAAGGGAACGGAGGCGATGCATCGGACCAAACAACCTTCCACTCTAATCGTCGCGCGGCAAGCTCTGTTGAAACGATAACAGCGACTGCATAATATCACGCACCACGTGGCAGCGCCTACAGACAGCCCCACTGTACTCGTCACGCGGCAAAGCCTCGGGGTCAACAAGAACGTTTAGGGTCTGGCGGGATTGCGCAGTAGCGTTCTTCAAGGAAAACGCAGGGAGACCCCGTCACCGAGGCCCCCCCCCGTACTTCTTCTGTTCACGCTCTCAGTGCGCATCCACAGCGGCTGCAGCAAAGTGAAACTCACTCTAACTTAAATCAATGACGCAGAAACGAATACGGCAAATACTGGAATCTCTGAACCCACCTGAACTTTGAAAAGATGAGTCGAGGAGCGATGTGCTGCTTCTGTCCATTGAGAGAACGCGCTGCTATGAATTTCATGGCCTTCACGAAATCCTCGTCGATGAAACAAGACCCCCTCCTTGGCGAAAGAAACTGGGACCGTTGCCCCAAGAACCATAACCATATAAGTTTCGGCACTGCGGACATGAGACATTGCTTTCGAGCATCAGCCAACAACCCGATGGTGGTCCACAAGTCAAGAAACTGATCAATGTCCTTACGGAGTGCAGCACTGGCAGCAGCAGTTATAAACAAATCCTTACTATATTCGTCCAGGTGCTCTTGAATTCGCACTTGGCAATCAAGAGTGCGCGCGATGAGATCATCGCGCCTCTTGTGGGCTGCGCATGTCCTTTTAAAGTGAGGCCATATTGCTACTAGCGCGTACACGAAAGCTTTTATCTCGGCGCCTCTCCCTTTGAGTCTCGGGTACTTCAACTTCCGTTTATCAGCGTCTATGAAAGACGACAACTTGAGAACTGAATATTGCACCACGGGCTTCTCCCGCCTGTAATACTTCAAAACTTCGCGCCACGCAGATCGTAGATTCACCTCAGGGGTGCCTGGCATTATTTCGTATACTAGCAATTTCAATACGGATCCACACAAATACATGCTCGTACCAATGTGCAAGATATGTAATTCATCTGGCTCGATATTTAATGCAGACAAGAAACCACATATTCTAAACAAAATGTGCATGTCTGGGTTCCGTACCCGCCACGACGCCCGCGCGGCGAGGGTTGTTTTCCATTTTGCATGGCGTTCGAAGCACGTCGGCCACGCCAACGGGTCTGGATCACTACCATCAGCTTCGCATAGGTCAATTGGCTTGTGGGCGCCAAAGTGTCGCATCTTGAGGCCGAGAGCGAACCGCTCCAGATCTCCTGGGAGTTGGCATGAACAGAGCTCCTCCTCCCCATCCTCCTCCTCCTCCTCATCCTCCTCCCCAATGCCCTTCCTCCTCGATCCTCCTTTCCCCCCTCCCCACCCCCCGCCTGGAACTTAGGCGCGCCGAGGTGTTGTGCACCCCGCGTCCTTTGATCCCCCAGAGAACCGAGAAATAACCGCCAGCTAAAGGCGCGCGCGAGTTGGCGAGCACAACTTCCGACGAATTCGGGGGCCACGCGTGCCCATCGGAGTCAACTTGTGGGTGTTGACCCAGGAAGCACGCAGCAAGTGACCAAGAAAGTATTGCCCGCGCTTCATCCATGGTGGACTCTGCCATGCAACTCGAGAAACACACGAACATCAACATCTTGACCGCGAGCGCGGTGCCCGTCGCAAACAGCGACTGGAAACTCAGACACTCAAGCCCGACTGTGTTGGACTTACCAACTGCTACAACTGGCACTTCGCCCCCGTATATGAGAATTGGCATTGCGTTGCGCTTCCAATTTGGCCGTTTTGTCATTGGGTGCCCATGTAAACGGGGATCATTCACCTTCTCTACGTTTGCCCAGAAATCGTCCAGCTTGTCGGGCGACCCATCGGGCCCAAGAAACCTCCGCCGAAAAACATGTGGCTTGTATTTGTGAACGTGTGAAAACTGAATGCGTGGAAACATAAACGGCCGGCGCGTCACGTCAACTTCTCCTTCAGTTTCTCGCGGTTCTATCACCTTGGTCTGGATAGGGGGAAGCTCGGCAGGGGGTGTGTCTGGAGCACCCAAGAACCTCAGAAGGTCACGGTTAGCGTTGCCGCGCAGCCCGCGAGATCCAAGCTCAGACAAAGCAACCAAAGATTCTGGCACGTGCGTTAAAGGCGCACCGATATTCGTCAACACGGCTTCCATGTCTTTCCTCTGGTGGTTCGTAATTACTTGTATTTTCCTGGCTGAAAGCAAGCCCAACGACCACTGTTCCACGAGGTAATGTGCAGATTGTGAATCAAACAAAAACTCAGATGTGCGATCAGAACCTCGTGCTTGTCCGCCCAGCGTTGCATGGTAACGGAGCCTCTGAATGCGCCCGCCTGTGGCGACTCGAAGAGAATGCGCAGCCATCGAACCCAATCTGTCGTAATGTCGTGCTCTCTTAGGGGGCGGGCGCCAAAATTGCCACGGCTCCAACGCGAACGAACGCGAACGCGCGTTGGCCCATTGAGGCCCCTGGTCCCCCTATTGAGCCTGCCTTGGGTCCGCCTTGGGGCCCTCGTGGGCCGTCTTGGGGGGGCCTCTTGAGCGGTCGTGGGGCCCTCGTGGGCCGTCTTGGGTGCCTCTTGCGGGCCCCTTGGGCCGTCGCGGGGCGCTCTTAGAACGTGGCCCAACTATGCTTCCCGCCAAGGCCACGGTGCAACTTTCGCCCATGATAGACCCCTCCGAAATGGCTTCTCGACCCCCTCATTGGCGCAAGTCTTGACCAAGCGCAACCCATCATATTCGCGCCTGTCCTCGCTTTCCCTCGTCTTGGGCACCTTCGGGGTTCCCTTGGGGGCGCGCGAAAGTCCCGAGCGATTTATGACCGAGATTAATTAATCTCGGTCGCGAATTTTGCGAGACATCCCCAGAAATCTGGGGAGGGGAGGACGGAGGGGAAGAGCGGGGCGAGGTCCTCAAGGGAGGCGGGAGGGAGAGAAAGGTCGGACTCCTCGCCATCGCAAACTGCCCCGCCAAACCCCAGCACCCCAGGATACCCAGGAGACAGTTATATAGCGATGTCGTAGCCCACGGGAAAGTTATATAGCGATGCCGTAACCCACGGGCAAGTTATATAGCGATGTCGTAACCCACGGGGAAGTTATATAGAGATGTCGTAACCCACGAGAAAGTTAAATAACGATGTCGTAACCTACGAGAAAGTTAAATCGGGATGTCGTAATCCACGGGAAAGTTATATAGCGATATCACAGCCCACGGGGAAGTTATAGAGCGACGCCTCACACCATGCCCATCCAACACTTACAGCACTCCCCGCATGCCCTAACCTACCAGGAGGCAACGGACCTTGGGCTTCTGCAAGCGGGCTTCTGCTGCGAACCTACAGGGCCCCCTCGCGCACACGCGCGCGCACGCGCCGCAAACAAGCCCAGCGGGGGTTCGCAGCGATCCTGCAGGAGCACCAATGGAGCAACCGCGGCACGCAGCAAACTGTTCCACTTGTGTGTGTGTGTGTGTGTGCGTGTGTGTATGTGTGTGTGTGTGGTTGTGTGTGTGGTTGTGTGTGTGTGTGGTTGTGTGTGTGTGTGCGCGTAATCAGTCATCAGGGGTGTGTGTGTGGTGCGTGTGTGGTGTGAGAGTGTGTGGGAGTGTGTGAGCGTGTGTGTTGTGTGTGTAGGTGGTGTGTTGTGGTGTGGTTGCTGCATGTGTGTGTGTGGCGTGTGTGCTTGTGTGTGCGCGTGTGTGTGCGTGCTTGTGTTTGCGTGTGTGCATGAGCGTTGAGCGCGCGTGCTGTGGGTGTGCGCGCAGCGCGTTCCACGATGAGGGGGCCCGCCGGAGACCCCAATGGGGGGCCCGAGGGGGGGGGGGGGGGGGGGGGGGGGGGGGGGGAGGAGTTCGGGGATGAGAAGAAGCAGGCCACCTTGTCATCAGTAGTTGTTTCTTTCTCGATGAGGCCATCTCGGACCTGCGACCCTCCCCGTCGGAGCTTCGCGCCAACGCCGCCGAGTCCACCGCAAAACGGCAAGGGGCAGGAGAGCCCTCTGATGCTAGCGACTCCGACGGCTGCACTCTGGGCACTCTGAACGGCAGGAGCCCCAAAGCGCCCACTAACGCCAGCAATTCGACCACAACTCCTCCCCGTGTTGCTCTTGCCCCTCCTCCGCCTCGTCATCTTCCCCCTCCCCCTCCTCCTGGTCCTAGGGTGATGGCGCGAGGAGCTCGCGCGCGGCAAAAAAAAAAACTTGCTGATCAGCCCGCTCGGCCTTTCACTGCTGGTGACTCCCGAGACATGAAATGCTGAATCAGACCCCCTGCGTCATGCCAACATGTTTAATCGCTTGTACATCTATCGTAGATTTATAGTAAATTTATAGTAAATTTTTCGTAAATTCATTGTAAATCTTAGGATTTACTATGAATTAATTAGAAATGTATTATGAATTCACCATAAATTTATTATGAGTGCATGATGCGGTTCACCGCAGTTGGCCTCGGAGTCTGGCGGACCAGGTAAATCTGGATCCGTTGAAGGCGCAAAAAAGACGGGCACAGCTTCATGATCTGATCACTTCTTCTTGGCGGTGATCGCCTTGTCGCTCTTCGATCTTGCCCACGTGGCTCTCGTACATGCGCTCCAACTCCCTGTAGTAGTCGAGGCACTCCCTGTACTGCGTGGCGGTCTCCTCGATGGCCGTCGCGACCCCCTTCGCCATGACATTCTCCGCAGGGCGCGCCAGGAAGATCTCCGCGGCCTGCGTCGGCTTCACCAGCGACTTCAGCTTCTCGATCCCCTGACGAGCCACGTCGCACACGGCCTCGTTGCCCGCTTTCTGCACCAAGCTCGTGCCGACCTTCATGTCGGCCTCAGCCTCAGTCGCCTTCTTCCCCTCGCTCTGGAAGCGACTGGGCGCCGAACCGCTCTCGATCTTATCACCGAGCGCCTTCCACCTCGCCGCAGTGTCTGCCTCCTCGTGCATATCAGCCATGATGGCCATCGGCGTCTCGTCGTGCACGATCACGTCCCTCTGGGTGGCAATCTTATCCTTGGCAATGATTTGCGAATTGCTCCGCTCTTTCTTGTCGTGGTACCAGAAGCCGTTCTCCTCCCACGCCTCGCCTTCAGCTTTGGCTTGGTCGAACAAGGTCTGGCTCCCGTGGAAGACGGATGCGATGAACGTGCTCTTCTTGAGGCCGACCTGCTTGTCCTTGCCCAACTTGACGGTGGACATGGTGGTGTTCTGCTCCAGGGTGTTCACTTTCTTCTCGACCTGGCCCTTGTGGGCGCATGCAGCCCAGGCGTATGCAGCGCCCTTCGGCGCCCTCAGGCCCGCCGCCCGCACTGCCGCCCTCTGGGCCCATGCATGGGCCCGCTCCGCCTCGCGGTCCACCCCGCGCATGACGAACGCGAGCTGGAGCTGCTCCGCCCACCCCATCTCGGTCAGGTGCGCGGGCCTGCCCGCCTGCACTCCCGCCGCCATCGCTTGTTGTTGGAGATAGTCTGCATCGTACCTGGGGAGCGTCTGCAGCCACTCCCCAATTGTCGGAGTGGCTGAAGCCACGGGAGGGCAAATTGGCTGCAGCCACTGCGCACGTCCGTATCTAAATGCTGCCGCACCCAGATACAGCCGCATCATGGCCAGCGGGCAGAACGGGCCCTGCGTCAGCACCACGTAGGCCAGGTCCTGGCAACGCTGGAACCAGCCGCCCCTGTGCGGAACTCGTCGCACACGTACGCGCGCATCGCTGTGAGCATATATGTCCACGCGGCTGCAGCCGATGGACACATGTGCCAAGCATGCGTCGGTACATTGTGACGACCCGCCCGCCTGCCCTGACGCCCGACGGGGTCGTTCGCGGCGGGCCCCACCTAGGCGCCCAGTTGCGCGGCCAGCGTCTGTCGGCTGGTTGCCCTGGCGCGCCCACCGAAGTCCACTGGGCGGGCAGCGTCCAGCTCTGCGGCCAGGTGCCCTCCGCGCATCTCGCGGCGGCGGGCGGTCATCTCGCTCGCCGAGCGGACGCCCTTGCCCGAGCCCTTGTCGTCGGACGCCCGCGCCTCGCTGGCTGAGCGGCCCTTGCCCGCGCATTTGCCCGTGCTGGGGCCTGCCCGCTGCCGTTCGCCGAGCGGCCACTTGCACTTGCCCGCGCTGCCGCGCGGCTGCCCGTCGGCCGCGGGGGCCGCTGCGCTGGCACCAGCCGCCGCGCGGGCCGCGGTGCTCGGGCGGCGCTGCGGGGGGCGCACGGGGGGGCCGCGGCGCGCAGGCGGGCCGCGGGGCGGCGGGCCCGTTGAGTGGGCGAGTGCGAGGGGGGGGGGGGAGGGGGAGGGGGGGGGGAGGAGGGGAGGGGGGGGCCGGGGGGCGCGGGGGGACGGTGGTGGGGGCGGTGGGAGGCGGGGGGGGGGCACGGGCGGCGTGGATAAGGACGGGCCGGGGGGGGGAGGGGGGGGGGGGTTGATTTTGGGGATTGTTTTTTTTGGTTTGTTTTTTTCTTAGTCGGTTTCTTTTTTTTTTTTTCTTTTTTTTTTCTTTTTTGTTTTTTTTTTGTTTTCTTCTTTTTTTTGTTTTGATTTTCTTTTTTTTTTTATTTCGCCCGCCGCGCGAGCGCGAGCGCGAGCCGCGGTGCGCCTGGCGGGCGCGTTGCGGCCGTGCCTTGCTGGCGGAGGCGCGCGCGGGGGGGTCGACGCCTTGTGCTGCGCGCGCCGACGGCGGCGGCGGCAAGGGGGCCCCGCCCCGCATCGGCGGACGCGGGATGCGTGAGATGGCTGCCTGGTGACGATATCACCCGTGTCCGACAGCTGCAGTTAGCATTGCCACCACCACCCATAATGTGTGCGGGGTGGGTGAATTGAGGGGCGTGGGACATGCCCCCGCCCCCCTCCACTCGCCACCGAGATATCGTCACCCGTGTACGGATGATGATATATCGGTGGCGGGCGGGGGTCGGCGGCCGTGATATCTGCACCCCCGAACATTGGCGATTGCGTCCGATGGGCCTGGGCCACGCCTGCACCCGCGCCGCCGTCGGCCCGCGGGCGCACCGCCCGCGCCGCCGTCGGTGCGCACGACGGCATCGGCACCGTCGGCGCACCGTGGTCAGCCGTGGGCGCACCATCGGCGGGAGGGGCAGCCGTGGGCGCACCATCGGCGGGAGGGGCGGGAGGGCGCGCCGTCGCCGCACCGCCGTCGGCGGGAGGGGCTGGCGGGCCGTCGTTGCCACCGCCACCCCCGCCGCCGCCACCAGCCGCAGCCCCCGGCACCTCGTGCAACCCGTAGCTGCGGCACATCAGCGCCGGGCTGGGGTCGGCATTGAGGACGGGCGTGTGCCAGCCCATCATCGGCGGCACCACTGCGCCATTGGTGCCAGGCGTCGCCGCAGCCCACGCGCACAGACCAGACGCGGCGTCGCCCGCTGTGGCGTTGCCCGCGTCGCCCTCTGCGGCGGCGCCGCCCGCGGCGCCCGATGCGACGCTGCCGCCCCAGAAGAGGCGCCAGCCCACCCAGCCTGGGACGGGATGCACAAACCTCACACACACACACACACGTTTACGTATGTGTGTACATGTATGCATTGACAGTGTGAGCACATGGAGCTACAGCTGGATGCTCACACTGTCCACGCATATATGTAAACAAGAATCTGTTGGCCCCGAGGGGCTAGATCACCCAACATAGCCCATGGTGCCCCCCAAGGGGCGCTCTATATACACAAGCATCCCCAATGCGGCATCCACGAGATAGCCTCCGACACACGTCCAAGATGCCCCGAACACCGTGCGGTGGTGGTGAGCTGCAGCTCATGTTATGATCATTCCCGCCCCCGCGCCCATCGGCGAATCGTCGCCAAAGAACTTGAGCATGACGTCGCCCGCCTCGGAGGTGAACGCGCCAGGCACCCACGGGGCCCTGTGCTGGCCACCTGCCGCAATCAGCGGCTCCGCCAGCTGGATCATGGCCCCAAACAGCGGGTCCGCGTCCTGCTGCGTCAAGAACATCGCGTGCGGCAGCGCCGTCATGGCGGCGGCGGGCACGGGCAGCGGCGGCGCGGCGGTGGGCGGTGGGCGCGGGCTGCAGCTCGCGCAACAGTGGCGTCGGCGGGGCGACGACGACGACGACGACGCAGCCGCCGTCGACGACGCCGACGACGACGACGACGAGGCCGTCGCCGTGCCGCCGTCGGGCTCGCGCTTCCCTTAGACGGTCGGGGCGATTCGGGATTCCCCAGGATGTCTGGGCGAGGCACAGCTGCACAAATACCATGTAATCACAAACCAGCTCGCTGCTAGGGCGCGCGCTCGGCTGCCGAGATTACGACGGCCTCTTATTTGCTGCGCCACCCGCTGTTATGAATGGCTCCGATTGGCTTCTGCTGGTTATGTCATGTGCTGCGCCCTCGGCCGCCGATCACACACCTGGCCCATATTGCGCCCTCGGTCGCCGATGATTGCGCCATATGTTGCACCCGCGGTCGCCGATTGTATAACCAGCCTTGGTTGGGTGCGCCCTCAGCAGCATGGGTTGTGCCATAGGTTGGGCCCTCGGCCGCGTGTGATGTAGCTGGCTCATATTGCGCGCTCGGCCGCCGAAAATATAATTGGCTCCTATTGGGCGCGCAATGGGTTGCACACTCGGCAGCCGAGGATATAACTGGCTCCATCACACAATCGGCGAACGATGATTTGCTTCCCCCTCGGCCTCGTCTTCCTCCTGGTCTCCCTCGTTCCCTCGTCGCCCTCCCAAAAACGAAATCCGTCGTAACGCACAGCGGGTTGGGGAAAACAAAAACAATCGGCCAACGATGATGTTGCTCCTATTATGGCTACGCTACAGGCTGCGCCATCGGCCGCCGAGGGTATGCATGGCCCAACTGTATTACGCAATTGGTGGCGCCCCGCCCGCCAAATTCAATAACTGGGTTCGGGCTACGGCCGACGCCAGCACGAGCATACTCGCCAGACTGCGCGCACCTTTCTGACGGAACGCGGCCACGAGCCTGGGAACCCCACGAGTGCCCGACCGCACGGAAAATCAAAGACTCAGGGTGTCGGCGCACCTTAGTTCTCTGCCGGCTGTCCTGCACCATATGTATGCTGACTTTCCTGCACCATGTGGTAATATGATCCACAAGACAACTAAGATGCGCCTAGCCCTGAATGGTGCCGCTGCGCCACGCTCATGCCCACACCCCATACCTATCCATCTCCCCCCCCCTACGCCGCTGCAGCGGTCTAGGACTATACCCAGTCCCCTAATTCAATCGCGAGGCGATCGCGTGCCATCGCGCTGATGGTATCGGGGTCGCGGCGCATCACGATCGCCTCGGCCAGCTGGACCGCGTTGATCTTCCAGAACCCTGGCCGGGGCGCCCCGTCGGCGCGCTTCTTCTTCCGCGGCGGTTGCTGCTGCTGCTGCTGCGTGTTGATGATGTGGACGGCTGCTGCTTTAGCAGCTGCGGCTGCGGCGGCGTCGGCTGGGGCGGCGGCAGCATCTGCGACGTGCTGCTGGCGTTGCTGATGCTGCTGCGGCAGCAGCTGATGCTGCTGCACGGCGGTCGCCAGCTGTGCCTGCCACTGCTGCTGCGTGTACGGCCACCGCTGCTGCTGTTGCTGCTGCAGCAGCTGCTGCTCGTGCCACTGCTGCTGCATCAGCTGCTCACGCATCAGCTGCTCCTGCTGCTGCTGCCCGCGCAACTGCTCGCGCTGCAGCTCGTGCCACTGCTGATGCTGCTGCAGCAACTGCGACTCGTGCCACTGCCCGTCCTCCTGCGGGTTGACGGCCTCCCGCTGCGGCTCGCGCCACGGTTGTGGCTGCTGCGGCACGTGGTACTGCAGCGCCGCCGTCGGCATGCCCTGCAGCTCCGCAGTGCCGACGACGCCGTCGCTCATCACGGGCCCACACGACCGCCCGACGCAACGCGGGCCTGCCCTCCGCTGACCTGGACACGACAGCTGCAGCTGACACCCGCGATGCATGCGACGTCGTCTGCAGCCGACATCCGACGGCCGACGCGCACGACGGCGACGAACCACGGACGATACGCAATCATCCGAATGGAGCGACCGACGACGAACCCACATTGGAGGGATGAGGGGGGAGGGCGATTCACATCACTGCCCATCCACATCATGTGCCTCGCACCTCGTCGCATTCACAATCCTCGACGCACTGACATCGCCCCTCATTGGCCCACCGTATGCTGCATCACTGTTGTTGCCCCGCGTCGTTGTCGTCCGTCGCCCTGCGCCCTTTACCACGCGCGCAGCGCAGCTGCGCCCCATTCCCCCATGCATGCACATATCCTACGCCTAAGCACCCGCGGCTGCGGCTGCAGCCGCTGCTGCATGGCCACTTGCACTCCCCACCTGCCACGCGCGCGCGGGCGCGCGCGGCGCGGATCGCGGCGTGCCCCGCGCATTCAGGCTTGAACCACTTGTAGGTCCAGCCGCCCTCGCCCGCCCGTCGCCTTGCGACGTGCGTGCTCCTCTTGCGGGGCCAGTGGGCGCCGACCGCTCTGGGGGGCGCCGCCGCCGCAGATGCACCGCCATCGTCGCCGTCCTGGGCGCCGCCCTCTGCGCCGCCCTGGGCGCCGCCCTCGGCGCCCGCGTCGCCATCCTCGGCGCCGTCATCGGCGACCTCGTCGTCGTCCTGGGCGTCCGATCCCGCGAGCGATGCGCTGTCATCGGCGCCGTCCTCGGCGCCGCCCTCGGCGCCGCCCTCGGCGCCCGCGATGCCCTTGGGATGCCCAGCTGCAGCTGGAGAGCATACGCAACCTAACCACATCAACGCACAAACAACTACACGCCCCCAGCTGCAGCTGGGCACCATCCAACCACACTATCTGTCCTGCGCGGCCTGGGCGCGGAGGCGGGCGAGGGCGTCGGGCTCCAGCTCGACGAACAGGGACCGCCGCTCGTCGACGTTCTGCAGCACCCTGACGACTCCGCCACCGCAGGCGACCTCCACGATGGGGGGGGGGCGCCCGCACCCACCATGGCCTTGTAGTACTTCTGGGGGGGGGGCAGCTGCAGCTGGGTAGCAAGCGCGAACACCGAGCACCCATATCCTTGAGAAGCTTGCGCATCTTGTGGGCGCCGTAGGTGTTGATGTCGGCCCCCCGCGGCGCAGCCGCCTGCAGGCTCGCCTGCTTGCGCTTGCGCTTCAGCGAGTCCACCATCTTCCGCACCACCGTGCTGCGCTGTTCCAGTAACCTCCAGTGGGGATGTCCTGGTGCCCACGCATCGGACAATGCAAACTTAGTACAAGCAGCCCTGCCCACCGCGTAGGCCACTGCATGCAATGACACATTAACCCCACCCAGACCGACCTACCCCGCGCGCGCGCGTCGGCCGTAGCAGACGCGTCGGTCGCCTGAATCTATACATAGAATATGTGACGTCATTTGCATGTTGTGATACTCCCTGTCCCTCACCACCCTCGTTTCCCCTCCCGTCATCCCTCTCGACATCGTCATCCTCGTCGCATATACTACACTATCGCATTCCTCTGCCACCCCCACCCCCCCATCCGATCCGCCGCCCTCCCCCGCGCGGGCTGCAGCCCGTCGGGCGCCTGCAGCGACCCGACGCGCGCAACTGATTATCGGCGCGCGCGGCCGACACGCCGTCGACGACATCGATGGGTTCATATGTCAGCCGACGCCCAGTCGGCTGAAGTGTCTCCCGACGCGCGGTCGGCAGACTATACCGCGCAGCTATCACTGCACCTTGCGCTTCTGCCCCCTCTGCAGCGGAGGCGCATGCAGCTTGAGCTGGTCGCGTGGGAGGCTACGCAAACCGCGCGTCGTCGTTGTCGTCGTCGTCGTCGCGCCTGGCTTAACCTCCTTGGTGTTCACCATGCACGGCGCGTTCAGCTTGTGTGTGCCAGTGTTGTCCGTCAAGACCACCTCGGCGGCGCTCTGCTTCATGTTGCCGTCGCCGGAGGAACTGGGGACCCGCCAGCGCGGCGCCGCCCGCGGCTTCTTCGCCTTCTCGCCCGCAGCGAAGCGCGGCAAGGTGGCAGCGTTGAATGCCGATGGTGGCATGCCATCACGCTGCAGCGTGACGGTTCCCAGGTCGACCGCCGATGTCGGCTTGTCAGTCCAGGTCGCGCCAGCGGCCTTCGTGACGAACCTGGTGCTGGACGCCGCCAGCGTGAGCTCGCATTTTTTGTTTTTGGTGTCGCCTTCGGGGCGCGAGCTGCAGCTCGACGCCCAGGGTGGATTGTCAACCCACCACAACGAATTGCACACGCAACGCTGTTTAGGCACAACGCGCCTGTGAGATGCACCGCGGTCGGGGGCTCCAAGATCACGATGGCCGCGAGCACCTCGCAGTGCTTGTCATGCGCGACTCGCGCCGCGCGCATGCATATGCCGATGGCGACGTCGGCGCCCCAGCCGCTGAGGTCCACGCCGCAAGGCTGCGTGGCGACCTGGCGCTTAAAACCCCCCAGCAACGTCATGGTCTTCTTCTCCAGCTCGGCGTTGATGTCGACCGTCTTCGGCTCCATGGCGCGGGCGCCCGCGCGCTGCCTAGTAGCAGCGCGCGCGTCGATAAGGTGCGCGGTCGTCTCGGTCACATCCGTGACCTCCCATGCCTCATTTCCGCCGTCCGCTTTTAAACTGGCGAACGCCCCTTTCACGACGCCCATCGTTTCTATCTTGTATTTGGAGCTCTTCATCTGCTCCACAGTCAGTGGGCCCGCGCCACGGGCTGCCGGCGGCGCCGACGACGCAGGCGTCGGCGCGCCTGCTCCCTCCTCACCCCCCAAGCTAACGCCGAGTGCCTCGGCCACCTGGCGCGTCTTCATCTTGGGCCTCCCGCCCAGTGCCAGGACGAACTCCTGCAGCCATGGCTTCAGCCAATGGTATGGCCCGGGAGGGTGGCCGGGAGGGTGGCCCAGGAAGGGTGGCTCGGGAGGGTATGTTTTGCCCGGGAGGTTAGCAGGGAGGGTAGGGCGGGGAGGGTGGCGGGTTTGTGGGTGGCCGGGAGGGGTGGGACCGGGAGGGAGGGCATGGGAGTTCGGCCCCGGGGAGGGTTGTGGCCCAGGAGGGTGGCCCGATCTCGAGAGGGGTGGCCCATGAGGGTTGGGACGGGAGTGGGCCCAGAGAGCGGGCCCAGGGGAGGGTGGGGCCAGGGGAGGGATCGGTGGGGTGGCCCCCCCCCGGGAGGATGGCCCCGGAGGTTTCGAGGGTGGTGGATACCGGGAGGGTGGCCCGGGAGGGTGGGCCCGGGAGGGTGAGTCCGGGAGGTCCCCCAGGGCCCAGGGCGGGCCCGGGAGGGTGGGGCCCGGGAGGGTTGCTCGGGAGGGTGGCCCGAGAGGGTGGGCACGGGAGGGTGGCCCGGGAGGGTGGGGCCCGGGAGGGTGGGGCCCGGGAGAGTGGCCAGGGAGGGCGGGCCCGGGAGGGTGAGCCCGGGAGGGTGGCCCGGGAGGGTGGCCCGGGAGGGTGGCCCGGGAGGGTGGCCCGGGAGGGTGGACGGGGGTAAAGTCCGGGAACAAAAACGGCGAGGATGGCCGGGAGGGTTCGAGGTGGATCCGGCGTGAGGTGGCCGGGATGATGGCGGGAGGATGGCCCGGAAGGGGTGGGCCCGGGAGGGTGGGCCCGGAGGGTGGCCAGGTGTGGGTGGGGCTCGGTGAGGGTGGGCCCGGCTATGGTGGGCCGGGAGGGTGGCCCGGGAGGGTGGTGCCCGGGAGGCGGGCGGGAGGATGGACGGGAGATGCGGGTCGGGGAGGGTCGAGCCCGGAGGGTGGGCCCGGGAGGGTGGCCCGGGAGGGTGGCCCGGGAGGGTGGCCCGGGAGGGTGGCCCGGGAGGGTGGGCCCGGGAGGGTGGCCCGGGAGGGTGGGCCCGGGAGGGTGGGCCCGGGAGGGTGGGCCCGGGAGGGTGGGCCCGGGAGGGTGGCCCGGGAGGATGGCCCGGGAGGATGGCCCGGGAGGGCGGGCCCGGGAGGGTGGGCCCGGGAGGGTGGGCCCGGGAAGGTGGCCCCGGGAGGCTTGGCGCTGATTCAAACGAGTGCGCTTCCAGTGCGCTTCGTCATTGCGCGTGCTGAATAGAGCTTCGAGGTTTGATTCCCCTCCCCTACCCCCCTGGGGCGGGCTTTTCCTCCCTGCCTCGTTCTCTGCTTGATTCGTTATTCTACTTCGTAGTCGTGGAGCGCTTCCTTCTTCTGCTTCGCGATCGCGGGGCGCCTCGCTGTTCTGCTTCACAGTCGTGCTGCGCCCTGTTTTCACCGCCCGCCGCCGCGCGGATGCTACCCTCAAGTTGATTGCTGGTTGCTGCTGATAGGGTGTGCCGGCCCATTCGATATCGCATGCTTCCGGGAAGCTCGCGGGGAATTTCTGCCTGGCGCCCCCTTTTCACGAGGGGTTTAACGGAGACGCGATAGCTTGCACCACATATTCGTGTCCACTGTTTATGACGACTTGTTTGCGCAGTGCTTCTGAAGACATGTTTGCCCAGCGCGAGTCCGGCTCCAGGGCCATTGCAGATTTTCGAGGCCGCGCCTTTGAACCCCGCTCTGAGTGCCACGTGTTCCACCCCTCCCTCCCTTTCTCTGCCCTGCATACCCTGTCTCGGCAGGATGAGCTTCGATCCAATTTTTGTCACAATTCCGTGCGATGCCGACAGTTGTCGCTCGAGGGTGCCATTTGCACATCAAGTCCCTCGTCTTCCTCTTCCCCCTCCTTCTCCCCCCCCCTTCCTCTCCTCCTTCCCCCGCGTAGGGTTGACATGCATAACGCAAGGGCCGTTGACCGAATGCTTGCCCCGACGGCTGCTCACGAAATGTTTGCCCCTGCGCGTGTACCGCGCGCTTTCATCGCGTGGTAGGCTGAGCGAGCTGGGGGGCCCATCGCGCTGTCCGCCCCCATCTCCCCCCGCCAAAAATGCCAAGCGCGAGTGCCCCTACGCGCTTGTTGCCGGGAAGTTGCGCTGACTGCTGCCCCGTCGTCGTCGTCGTCGTCGTCAAGGTCGTCGTCGTCGTCGTCGTCGTCGTCGTCCGCCCCCGTCGGCCAGAACCCGATTGAAATGGGCCCCCGGAACCCTCCCGGGGTCCGAGCGCACAAGTTTTCCGCGCCGCGTCCGGCCGCGACGAGGAGAGCCGCCAGGGGCCAGAGGATCTCGATCCTCGAGGCTTGAGGCTCGAACCTGGACGTCGGTGGCCGTTCGGGATGACTCCGGCGCCCCCGGGACGCAGTTTGTCGGTCCCGATCGATTTCTGACGGCCCTGGGTCCCGAAAGTGGTTCCCGCAGGCTACGACGCCGGAAGCCCGCCTCGAACTTCGAACCTCAGGGGTCGACGAAAATAGCTGGCGTCATCGGAGACGCGGCCATCTCGTCCGCCACAGCGGCGGCAGCCCAACTCCACGGGTTTCCGGCGGTGGGCGTGAGCGCGGCCCCCCCGAGCTCAGCCCACGCGCCGCTTCCGCGCGGGCGTCTTCGTAAGATTTGGGCGTCTTCGGCGCCGGGAACGGAAGGGGAGGTTCGAATCTCGTGGATCGAAGTTCGACGAGCTTTTTGTCGTTTTACGCCTCTGGAAGCCGCTTTCGGGCCCCGGGATCGTCGAAAATCGATCCATGGTGAAAAACTGCTTCGGAGGGACCCTGGGGAGGGCCCGGGGGCCGATTTTAATTCGATTTCGGTCATCCTGGGAGGAGGAGGGGGAGGGCGACGACGAGGGCGAGGAGGACGAGGAGGACGAGGAGGGCGAGGGTTGGACATGACTGGGCGCTCCCGTAAGTTGACCCGGTTCGTTCGAATGTGTTTCGCAAATATTATTGGGAATCTCGTTCAAAGTAAACTCCTACCTTCCACCCCTCCAGCCTCCGCCGCAGCCGCCCGAAGACAAATAAATTCAAATTGCGGCCGTGCCCCCAAATTTGAAGCATGCCCCTTTGCGTTGCCCGGGGCCCCCCAGGAATCCCAGGGGCCCCGACGGATTCTGTTGGTTTGTGGAGGATTCCTCGAACCTTCCATCCTGGAGGATTCATTCCTGGGCGCTCTCTTGGAGCCGTTTCCAATCAGCGGATGGCGCACCAACCGACGCGCATACGCGCGCGCGTGGCGCGTGCTCACTACTGTGTTGACCGCGCTTGAACAGTCGCCATGCTGGCCTGGAGACTCAAGTGAGCCCTGAGCGGTAACCGATTGGATGTTGAACTTAACAGTGGCTCACCACCTATGAGCGAATTGGCATAACCAACGACGCGCGTGTGCGCGCGCGTGCTCAGCTGTATTGACCGCAATGGACCACTCGCCATGTAGGCCTGGAAATTCAAATGAGCCCTCAGCGGTGACCGATTGGATTTTGAAGTGATGTTGGGTTCACCACCTATCTGTGCATTGGCACAGCCAACGACGCGTGCGCGCGTGGCGCGTGCTTAGTTTTGTATTGGCCGCAGTAGAACACTTGCCATGATGGCCTGGAAAATCAAGCCAGCCCTTGGCGGTGACCGTTTGGGTTGTGAAATTCACATGGATTCGCCACCGATCAGTGAATTGGCACAGCCAGCGACGCGAGTACGCGCGCGCACGCGCGCGGTGCGCGTGATCAGTTCTGGCTTGACCGCAGTAGAACAATCGCCATGTTGGCCTGGAAACGCAAGTGAGCCCTTAGCGGTGACCGATTGGATTTCGAGGTTGACACTGGTTCACCGCTTATCAGCGACTTAGCACAGCCAACGACGCGCGCGTCGCGTGCTCAGTTCTGCATTGAGCGCAATAGAACAGTCACCATGTGGCCAGGAGGCTGAAGTGAGCCCTTAACGGTAGCCGGTTGGTTAACATGGCTCCACCGCGTGTCAGTGAATGGGCACAGCCAACGACGCGTGCGCGCACGCGCGTGCTCAGTTCTGCGGTTCGTCAAAGAACCGTGGCAATGTTGGCCTGGAGACTCAAGTGAGCCCTTAGCGGGGACCGATTGGATTTTGAAGTGAACATGGGTTCACCACCCATCAGTGAATTGGCACAGCCAACGACGCGCGTACGCGCGCGCGCGCGTGGCGCGTGATCGGTTCTTGTATTGGCCGCAATAGAACAGTGGCCATTTGGGCCTGGAACCTCAAGTGGGCCCTTAGCGGTGACCGATTGGATTTTGAAGCGAACCTGGGCGCACAAACTTTCAGTGCCTTGGCACAACCAACGGCGCGCGTACGCGCGCTTGACAAGGTGTCAGTTCTGTATTGACCGCAACACAATAGTCGCCATGTTGTCCAGGAAACTCACGTGAGCCTTTAGCGGTGGCCGATTGGATTTTGAAGTTAACCTGCGTTTGTCACTTACCAGTGAATTTGCGCCGCCAGCGGCGTGCGCGCGCGCGTGGCGCGTGCTCAGTTTTGTATTCACCGCAAAAGAGCAGTCGCCATTTTGGCATGGAAAATCAAGTGAGCCCGTAGCGCTGACCGGTTGAATTTCGAAATGAACACGCGCCCACCACTTATCACTGGATTGGCACATCAAATGACGCGCGCGCGTGGCGCGAGCTCAGTTCTGCATCGACAGCAATACAGGCGCCACGTTGGTCTGGAGACTCAAGTGAGACTTTAGCGGCAGCCAACGACGCGCGCGTGTGGCGAGCGCTCAATTCTGTACTGGCCGCACTAGAACAGTCGCAATGTTGGACTGGAAGCTCAAGTGAGCCCTTAGCGGTGACCGATCGGATGTTGAAGTTAGGGTGGGTTTTATCTGTGAAGAATTGGCACAGGGGGCTCGTGCTCACTTCTGTCTCGGCCGCACCATAAGAATCGCCACGTTGGCCGGGAAGCTCAAGTGAGCCCTGGGCGGTGACCGATTAGATTTTAATGTTAGCATGGG